CTCTCTCTCTCTCTCTCTCTCTCTCTCTCTCTCTCTCTCTCTCTCTCTCTCTCTCTCTCTCTCTCCCTCCCTCCCTCCCTCCCTCCTTTTCTTCTTCCCATGGAGCTTCGATAGATCGATAATTATTCAAAGTTTTCAGCATTCGCATCCGCGTATTTAGCTACGTATTTCTCACTATTGATGAATTCAGAAAGCAAGAGTGTGCATCAATTAACAGTGATGAGAAATGCACATCTCTAAGAACAAATGTGTTCCTGATTGAAGATTTTTAGTAATTGTCGATCTATCAGATAATAAGATAGCCAACGATATAGTTCTTTCGCGAACGCGGCACGTTGATTAGCCTCGTAGCGAACATTTAGGTGGGATCCGATTGGACACAGAGTATAATGATTGGTTGCATCTAATAATTCACCAGATAAATCTTTGTATTGATTGGCTGTGTCCAATTCCACCGTGGTCAAGTAAGATACGCTCGAATGTTTTCACGTTTGTACATACAAAACATACATCTCGGATGTTTTCATGTCGAGCAATCGCCATCAACAACCGCCATCGCCATCTTTCCGCGTGTTTTATGCGTCTTTTGTCTGTCGAAAGTGAATCTCGCGCGTAAATACGTGTCGGGAGTGCCGAGGCAGTAATGCGCGGTCGTCGTATCGCGAGTGTGTTATTAGAGAATCTCCGGGCTCCCGAGGAGATGCAACCGGTGCTTGTCGTGACGTGTTGAGCCGGCGTCGGTTACACCCATGAATATCATTCACGTAATGATAGAATCAGATGATCACCGGATTTATTAGTTGGGAATTAGAAATTCGCAATCATAATCAAGGGAAGAGAGAAAGATCAGATGACGCCAGAGATATACGCGGCGACGAATCTCGAGTGGTACACTCAGCCCGTTACCGTGAGAATGGAGGAGTGAAAAGAGGGGTGTAATAACTAGAGTGCGTCCGCGTCGACCGCGACACCGTTCACGTTTTGACGCGCACTTTCGGCGCTCGTGAGAAACTGCGCGACCATTTCGGATTTCGATCTCTTTGCATCGA